TAGACGTGGTTGTGCATGTGGTGGTCATGATGACAGTGCTGCTACCTAGCCTGCATAGCTTCACAGACTTCTTTCCCTTAGATTGTCCCTGAAAAAATCCCTTCATTTTCTACTGCCTGCCTAACATACCAAGTAAACAAATAAAGCAATGGAGATTGAGGAAGGAGACTAATAGAGGGTCAGAGAGTGTGTGTAAATTTTATTTTTAGAATGATTGTGGTGTAATTCTTTTACTAAAATGTGACCTGCCTGCCTGCCTAAACAAAGCCCCCTCAGTATAATGTAATTAGGAAAGTCTCCCCACCCAACCCACTGTGACAGAGAAGCCAAAAAAGGCCAAAAAGAAAAGCCCTGTCAGCTAAGTCTCAGTCGCACACACACAGACACCCAAATAACTTTTGGAATAAAAAGGAATGATGGATCCAGCCACCCACCAAATCCCCTGAGAGACACAAGCCTCCCTAAAATGAACTTTTGTAAACTGTATAATCTTTATTTGTTTATTTATTTATTTAATTTATTTACAATATTTTTTAGCTGCACCATTGCCAGTGGCTTCTAATCCTGCCACCTAGCCACCCACCAAATTCCCCAAGAGACACAAGCCTCCTTAAAATGAACTTTTGTAAACTGCATAATCCTCCCACCTAGATACACACACACACACATACCCAAATAAGTTTTGGAAGAAAATGGAATGATGGATCCAGCCACCCACCAAATTCCCTGAGAGACACAAGCCTCTATAAAATGAACTGTTGAAAACTGAATATAAAAGAAAAGAGATTCCACTGTCACACGACGGCAGTTTCACTTCCCCCATCGGACGATACCCACACACAAGCCTCCAGAAAAAAGGTTTGATTGATTTGAAATTAAAATTAAATTAAGCCCTTCTGAAGAAGTAGCCCAAGCTACCTGAAATCCCTCCCCAAATTCCCAGTAAAGTTAATGATGATTGATGAATGATGATGAAAAAGAAAAATATAAGTCTTTGCTTTGCTGACGCAAAAGCGAAACCACAAGAGCACCAGCAAGCCAGTGAGCAGCAACTGTTCTCACTCCAGAGAGCACAAACAGAAGTTGGGAATTGCCAGATGGGAAAAGCTTATAAGAAGCGGCTGTAAAAGTAGATATCCCTTTCAGCACCGCTCCTGGATGCCGGACATGCCAATCCAGGATCTCTGTCCAGATTGGCCAGAGTTTCGAATTGGCACCAGTAAGCCCAGTGAGCCCCCCCAAAGGGGTAACTAATATGAATGGATTGACAAATAAAACCGAAGAAATATTTGTCAAGCCATATTCGTCCTGATTTTAAATTTTACAATTATGGATCAATGAATATATGACGAATGGGCTATATTTGTCAGAAAAATTGATCTGTTTTTATATTCATCCCCATCTCTAAACGCTATACAAAGCATGGTTTCTGGTGACCAGTTCTTGTAATGACACCATGGAAATATAGTATTTCTCTAGTGAACCCTATACAGGGGTGCCTCGCCCAGTGAGGTTAATCTGTTCCGGATTAACCTTCGCTATGTTAAAACTTCATTAAACGGAAAGTAAAAAGCCAAATCGGTGGAAAACTCACTGTTTAGCGAAGTTTCCTGGGTCCGGCAGCCATTTTCGCGCCCTCAGTAAGCGAGGGGAGGGCGCAAAAACGCTATGCGCGGCCATTTTGGGGCTTCCGGCGGCCATTTTGGAACCGCTGAACAGCTGATCCGCGGCGTTGCAAAGCGAAGATCGGTAAGCGAAACGCTTACTGATCTTTGCTATGCGAGTTTCGCCCATTGGGGCCGACGCGATGCCTCCCCATTAGCGATCCCGGAAAAGGGATCACTATGCGGATTCGTCGCTATACGAGGCACTCGTTATGCGAGGCACCATTGTACATAGCAGGGTCTCTGGATCTCTCTAGTGGCTAGTTCTAGTAATTTCCTCATTAAAACACATGTTTTGGGGCTGAATATAAAGGAAAAGAGATTCCACAGTACACGACGACAGTTCCACTTCCCCCATTGGATGATACCCACACACAAGCTTCCAGAAAAAAGGTTTGATTACTAATCCTACAGCTAAGGAAGCTGTACTGTACCTCTCCCGGATTCCCCCAGCTCACATGAGCAAAACTGTACAGGAGAGGTGATGGGCGAATGCAGGCAGAGGCTAACTCATTTGCAGCAGACACTGGAAACATTAAACCTACTGACTAAGGGTGTGACTACATGGGG